GACCTTGCACTTGGCCTTGTTGAACTTCCTGTGGTTTGCACAGACCCACCACGCAGTATTTCATGAGAGAAATGCAAGTGTGATACAGAAAAAGGTAAATATTATCTATGAGGATATGGAAACTGTATTTTACATTAGTCCTGCACCCTTTCCGTGGTTCACAGTGCTATTTAAAGATCACATAAAATGACGAGACTTCTTCAGGCATGGGGTGGGGATTACATTTTAGATTTTTTAATTGGACATTGAAATACCAGAAGTGTCAACCTTGCTATTTCCTAGTTCTGCTAGAGAATCTAGAGTATACCCCTCTGGAGCTATGCTGATAGATCTTAATTTATAATTGGAAAGGTAGAACGGCTGAGTTTTTTTTTGACTGACGAAGTATTTCTCTAAAATGCTAATTCACAGATGATTTTACATAGAAAATAAAAAAAAAAAGCCTTTGTAATCTTTTCACTTTATCATTCCAGCCATATATTCCTCATTTATCACGTAAAACAAAAAGCAGGAACAAACTCTTTAATTAAAAAATACAACAATACTTCAGCCTTTTTCCCTATCAAGAAGCAAACATTACAGCTCTCTTCCCTCACGTCACACATAGGACATGCAATTCTTTCATCCATTTGCCAGATCATTATGCTTTGAGGCTGCCCTTATACAGAGGCTTTATCTAACATCCTTCCCTTGTGGCTAATACTGTGTGTTCAGAAGGACAACTGCAGTCCCACAGTAAAGTGACTTTTGCTGCTTCTCTATTTAAGCTAACAAGTATTTAGCTTTTCATCTGCTTTATTCTTTCCCTTTTATTTCTTGAGATGTCTCAATCAACACTATTATTTACCCGTTTCCACAGGCAAGCAAAGAGAATTACTTTTTTTTTTCTTCCATAGCTGTTGAACATAATGCTAGCTTTGCAGGTCTTTAGTGAGTGACAGCTTAATACATGACTCTGAATTTTCTTTAAGTTTCCTGTAGACACACTCTGTACCTACATGAAACAAAGAGGCACTTAATGCCAGTAAGTGAGGGTCCTTCCAAAGTATCTCAAATATGTATCTATCAACAAAAGAATGTTAGGAACTGACTAAAATGTTCTGTTTGAGAAGGATCAGGCAGAAAAGAATAAAAATATAATAGTTTTGTATTATTCCCTGAGTTTGCTCACATTGTTCAGACAAGAAACAAGGCGTGTTGGACTGGCAAGAAAGGAGGAGTGAGCACAGGTTCACACAATCCATGTATGCTCTAAGGGCAAACCATTGTCATCTTCAGTCTGGCAGAAGCACTTGGGAATGCAGCATTCAAGTACCAAATTAGGAACAGAGTCATCACCTTTGGAGAAATGCCAGAGTCATTCACTCTAACAGTTTTAAGACATCTGAATCTAAGCTTTGGATTTTATTTGTAATGTCTGAGATGATATTCATATTTTTCAGGCAAAACTGGTACTACTTCCCTGTCAAAGGGGGCTTCCTTTTTAAAATAACATTTTTGGATTTGGATTTCACAAATATTTAGTATCACTGAAATATCACGCATTGTTTACTTTTTGCCTTAAATTCATTCACTGTTTGTATAACACTAATTTGCTCATCATTCTGGAGGAAAGATCACAGCACAACACTGAAACAGGTGCGGTGCTTTTAACACCACCAAACATGCATGGTTTGACTGCAAATTGAACTGATTTTTTCTTCCTGCTCCAATCTTGGGAGCAGAGCCCACTTTAACATGTTGACAAGAGCAGAAGTGTATCAGGATGTAAGCAGGCTGCATTTGCCATCCACATCACAGTCTGTGCTGAGGAGAGCTAGCATATGGGATTTGCCTTTCAGAACTTCCCATTTCTGAAGGGTTCATCAGGGCCACTGGAAAAAAAGAACCAGATGTGATAAAAACTCTGTAATAATTGCTTGGTAATTTTCCAGCTCTGAATCCTACAGTGCAGTTTATTGACACAAGCACCAGGCATCTCTTCCTTCCCTTGTGCTGAACCAGCAGTCTGGCAGTCCTCCCAATTTTTTATTGTTCTTATTGGATTGAGGTTTGCTGAGAAGGAGGGAGGGAAGGATTAACAGCACTTTTATAAACACACAGATTTGGTGATATTCAGGGCTGGTTTATATCCATCTCTCCCACTTCAACTTCCACGCACATCCTGTATTGTCTGTTGCTGTTTTCTAAGCCCAATCCTAAAGTAGTATTTTTTCCAGAATACTACTGGTCAGTATTCTGGAACAGGAGCAGAATTTTATTTGGCGGCTAAATCACAGATAAGTAATTTGCAGTAGGGAACTTGGTCTGCCTGCTTTACTATTTAAGCAGCTATAGGATTCAGTGTAAAACCTACGTGCTATCCAGCCCCCTGGAAGAAGAAAACAGCCCCAACATACACACAAGGCAGAATAGCAACGCAGTATTTTAAAGCTTAAATGGTTGCCAGTTAATATCCTGATCTCTGCAGTGACAGTATGGTGGTAATACAGACATGGTGCAACCCCTACTTCGAAGAAACTTACAATGATGCAGGGCAGCCACCCTTTTATTATTGGACTCGAACAGCAGAAAGGTTTGTTGAAGTCTTTAATCAAAATTCATACTTTCAAAACAGAAACTATGGGTTCAGCTAAGGACCTCTGTAACACTCTGTCCTACCTGGCAGTGAGAGGCAGGGGTCTTCCATGGGTACTGCACCCCTCTCATGTAATCACACACTGTTGAACACAACCCAGTTCTACACATACAGTGCTATTTCCTTTCCATTTTCCCTAAAAAGGTAAACAACTTTTTTCTTCCATCCTGCGTTTTTTTCATTTTGAGCTGCAGATACACAGCCAGTTCTCACTTTTTTTTGGATGTTTATAGTCCATTTGTTTTTGTTCTCTTGTACGCACTGATGAGCTTATGTATAATGCTTCATTTCCTGTACTGTACAGCAGAGATAGACCAGAAGGGATAAATTAAGGATCAGGAAAGACCTAAGCATAAGATGTGAGAGAAGACTTCTCCCAGATGACTTGATTATAGATCATGACTGGTAACAAACAAGGTTTCCCAGATGGCTCAAAGGACACTACTTACAGCCACGCTTAAAAATTTTACACAACAAAGCAGGCCAGAATAGGTTTCTCATAAGAATTTCACTTTCTTTTGCTTGAAATATAGACCTATGTAGTAGCTGGTGTAGTTGAAAGTCTACAAACCAAAAGGAAAAAAAGAAAAAAAAAAAAGGAAAAGATGAGAGTTTGGCATTACCTTTTGCTCCATCTGGTGTTTCATTTTTATTTTCACTTGTTCTCACAGTTGAGGGTTCACTTCCATCACAGACCTAAGAAAGGAACAATAAACATGCATGCCTATAAAAACCAAATGCATGGTTGTAGAAACTCCTTCAACTCCACAGGATTAAAACACATACTCCTGCAATTCAGGGGTATGCAGAAGCACACCTGTGTGCTTTCTAAGGGGACTTGAAATATAGGTAACTAAGAGAGAAGTAAGTCCATTTCCCTTCTTCCTAAAAGGCTAAGTGGGTATAAGACTTAATTTTCCAGAGTTGCAAAGAGTAAGACAATGTGGTCTTTAACCTGAAACCACAGTTTTCACAGGAAAGGATATGGAAAGGGAATCTGGAGGAGACATTTTCACTGACTGAGAACAAATTCCTTCCTCTTGCAAAATCTTGCATGGTTGACTGTCCTACAGAGCAAATCTATCCCTTTTGCAGGCCTGCCTGACATTAGTGTCTGTGCTAACAGCTTGCATTCCCAACATCAAAACCAGGACACTTCGAAGAGACAACAAAACAGGGAAGGATTTGAATCATTTTCTCCTTTCTACAATGCTGCACCACCCAGTCTCAAGATTTGTCACATTCTATGAACTGGATGACACCTACTACAGAAAAAAGTATTTCAGAACATGTAGAAAATCTATACCCGTAGATATATCTATCTATCTAGATAGATAGATAGATACAGATGGATATACACATCGGTATACATATACCCATACATGTTTTTACCCAAATATTAATTTTTTATTAGGTTTTTGTCACCTCAAATCAACAATGGAAGTTTAGCACTCTGAATTTTTAATTATATTTTACTCAAGCACTGTATAACTCCATATTTACTGAGAAAAAAAATGCAAGTTTTAAAAGACTTCTCCTACCGACACAAATCCGTATTTATTTTTTTTTTTTTTTAATCGGGGATCTTGAGAGGTAGAAGACAGCATAACTGCCCAGGAAGTTATTACTGTTTCACAGAGCAGTAGGAGCAGACTGGGAAGCTGTCAAGGTACCAAAAGTCTAGTTCCTCTTTGGGAATATGGCAGGAAATTTAGCAGAAACATCAACACTATTGTTTTACCTTTCCTCCTGCTTTCCTCCAGGTGAAGGGAGGTTACAGGATTTTTGGAGGCTATTATTAAACTGGAATTACTTCATACAGCTGCAGATGGCTTCAGTCCTCTTTTGTTACATAAAAAGCTTTCTAATGATGGGACAGCAACAAAGCACTGAGACAAGTTACCTATGGAGGTTGTAGAAGCTACTTCACTACAAGCTTTTTGTGACAGATTAGATGAATAACCACAAGCAATGATTTTTGAATAACCATCTTGCTTTGGAAAAAGGAAAGCAGTATAGATTTGAGGTCCTACATTTGTATTATTTTACTTCAGTCAAAGAGACAGGTTTAGAAGGATTCTTTTTTTTTTTCCCAGTTATTTCTATATTTAATAAATATTCTAACCTTCTGGTTTATGTATCTTAAGTGGCTACAATCATTTGTTTGTTTGAATTACTTCCCACTGATGTCATCAGTATCAAAACATGTAGTTTAAGAGACACAGAAGTCTACTGAACACTGTGACATATGATTTTCAAACATTACATTGTATAGCTTAAATACAGGAACATGAGTATTTCTTGTGCTTTACTGAAATAACATACTTGAAAGGGAAATCATACTGCTTTAAGCTATATGATATTTTACCTAAATTGCTCTGCTATTAGATCTTGTAATTTTTAGGTGTAGTCAATTCCAAATCCAGAAAGCTTTTATGGCATTAATATCCTTTCTGTAAGAACATGCAAAGTAGAACAGTGAAACAGAAGCTGTGCCTCCAGAACACACTTTTGAGCTTACAAACTCCCCCCACTATGTTTCACTTCTACCAGTAAAATTTGAAAGGAGTTGCTGAAGGAGAGGAAGCTGCTGGAGGAAGGAGGAAGTTAAATCCCCTTAAAATTTACTATGCTTGCCAGCCCTGCTACCATTGCGCTGAACGGCAGCGTCCCGTCCAAGACACATACATAAAATCTACAAAACAGGTTGTTTAAGGCAATAAATCAGACTGTCCTTCACAGGCAGCAGCAAGTACAAGGGATGGGGCTGAGGTCAGGTAAGCTAGCCGTTCACTCCCATCAGGTCAGAGTCTTCTGATGGCTGAAGACCTAGCTGCTTTTGGCGGAGCAGTCAGGACACATACGCTTCTCCACAGCAGAGGAATTCTAATCATAGTCTCCATTTCCCTCCTTCCCCTTTCCTGCACACGGGAGAGGTTGTTCCATACCCCATGAGAGGAAACTCGAACCCTTCAGGACCTGTCAGAGCAACTCCCCACACACAATTTAATGACACGCACGGGCTGTATGGGATCTAAGCCCCTAGCTGACAGGCATAAAGACCTAGCCAAAATAGAGGAGGTTAGGTTGATGACTTTTTTTTTCCCTCTTTTTTTTTTTTTTTTTTCTTCAATAAAAGAAACAAGAGCAGCAGGAAATAAGAGGTACTACCACCCAAAGGTAAAAGTGGGCTTTTGGTAGCTCTTTGGGTTATTGACGTCATGAGTTTTGCATCTGCGTTAAAACTAAGTCAGATTACCATCTTGCCTATGGAGTGGTTGTTTTACTCATCACCTTTAAGTAATACGGGGCCAATACACAATACTTCTTTCTACATACTAAAATTGCTTAAAGCAACATCAAGTCTGGACCAATGCTACTCCCATCAATTCAGTAAAAAATCCCCTTGGAAATCAGTGAAAAGCTAGACACAAATCGTCCAGATATCTCTTTTGTGCCTGTGCATCCCTTCCCTGTCCCCCCATCCCTACATGTCCCTCTCTTCTCTCTCCCAGAATCAAACAAAACGATGGACAGAAACTTACTTTTCCCTTTGAGTCATTCTGTAGCCTGAAGATATCTCTGACATCAGGAATCTGGTGCTGTTTGTTCTTTTTTCTCATGGTTTGTGTGACAGTTTCTACCCGTTTTTCTACCGCTGCCTTCTGGGTTCGGGTCAGTGTGGACAGAAACACCACACTTTCCAGGGAGTCACCAGAGCTCTCGCCAAACAGATTTGACAGACCTGCCTCCTTCAGCCATTCTTCTTCCAGTTCTCCCTCTAAGCAAGGTGAAGAGAAAAAGCCATAAACATTGGCTTTCGAGTACAGTTAAGCACACTGGATATTAATGACATGATATAGTTAATGCAGTTCACAGGAAAAGTATAAGGGGATCCACATTTAAGAGCAATTACTTACACTACCATGACTTGGAAAAAAGCTATTGTTTCTAAAAAGCTTCAAAAGAGTTAACGTATGACACCAAAGCTTTTAAAATAGTTAATCCAATACAGATTGCTATGAGGCAATCTTTATAATAATCTATAGCACTTCTATTAAATCATATACCATTTTATAAATGTGCCTAGATATAAACATGTATGGGAAGTCTGAAAGCCTCTGATCATTGCTGCTTCATTGATTTTTAGTTCAGTCCTCAATCTTTTTAGCTCCCTTGCTGACACGGTTCTGCCCACATTTCTTGATACATTAATACTGCAGCCCTCCACTAGCTCAATTTAATGAAAGACAAACCAGGCTACAGGAGTCACCTTAACGCTATTTCTTTAATCAGTTCTTATGACATGGTCTCCAGCCTGCTGACAGCCCACAAAACAATTGTTGCTTTAGTCTTACAGCCGATAAGGTATCCTCTATTGACAGACTACTGCACATGAAAGAGGAGAAAGCTATTAAATACTGTCACCTATGGCAAAACTCCTGCTTCTGAAATCAGTATCTCTCTAATGATACTGTCTTTAAAACATTAAGTTCTGTCTGTAGCAGCTGAGCTTGTGCTGAATGCCAACAATCCCCTCAAATGTTCAAGTAACACTGCAATTCAATCAGATATCTGAAAGTACTCCAAAGCTGGCATGTCAGCTTCACCACTGACTGTAGTTTCCCACAGTGCCCAAAGAACATCCAAGTGGGCACCTGAATAGTAACAGTGTTCAGAAAACAGACACTAAATTTTAAGTATGAATTTTGCTATGCCGTCTCAAGCAAGCCCCCACCTAGACAGTCCCATCAGCCAGGTGCAGTGTCCCACACGCTCAGGAGTACTCACACCCAAGCGAGATGCTGCACGTTAGGCAAGGTGTGGGGCACAGCAACACCTGCTCGAGCTGATCAACTCAACGGCGCTGACTCACTTGGGCTTCATGCCAGAGTCAGCAACTCAAGCCAGAGCAGTAACTAGCAGGAAGAAGGCTATATGTGAATAAAAAAGGAAATGGTGGGTTTCGGAGTGCAGAGCCTGAAAGCATAGCAGCATCAGTGAGCTGGGGTAAGAGAAGAGGCTCATGCACTGCAAAACAATGGGCTCTGCTGCCCTGGAGAAAGCCTTGCAGCTCTGTCAGATGCCCCGCTCCCTGCACACGTGGGCTCAGAGCCTTGCTGCTTTCTCCAGAGGCCAAGTTGTTATCTTCTTCAGAGCACTTGTAAATAGCAGCGATGGTTCAAAATGCCTAGGGAGGCAGAAGTGCAAATCCCTTTGAAAGCTAATGGAGCACATTCTTCTCACGCACGCAGAGGCCATACCAAAATGTAAAACTCACCATTTTAATTTACCGAGACTGTGGGCCTCTCGTAAAAATGGGAGAGAGGCAGATACTACACTGCTAAAAAATAATTTTTGAGAAAAGAGTGGAATTAAGGGCATTATTGCTCTTCTATCTGACAGGACAAGAAAAATACAGAAATTGCCCAACTTCTAAGACCATGCCCTCATGAGTGGCCCATAACTGATGCTTCTGAGAAAGAAAAATAATACAATTGAACAGTCACAACAGTTACAAGCATAGAAAGTTACTAAACTTAAACTGGTTAATCATTGGCTTGTCTTGTAAGGTAGAAGCTTTCTATCCACAATAGCTACAATAATGAACAACATACACAAAGAGTGAAAGGGTAAGTTAGTTTAACAGTAAACTGCAAATAATGCTTCAATTGTGATTTGCAAGTACAGGCACCTTTCTAATGTTCTGCAAACACTATTTAAAGGAAAACCGGTCTTTTACTTATCTCAGATACAATTCTCTTTCAGGGCACTGCCTGTTTCTGGTGATATGCATCAGGGGCAACACAGTTTTCAAAGTGCATGTTCAGTAGAGTGAACTTTTTGATTTACGTGTGTTTGGCGAGTGCCATCTCTTGAAATAAGACTAAAAGAAAAATCCCTAAATCAGCAGACTCAAATTCATTCACAAGAACGGATTTCATTACCATCTGGCTCTTTCACTACAAGTGCTACTCGTTCCTCATGATTATTTCCTCTGGTTTCATGAATGTTTTCAAGTTCTTTCCAGTAGTCATCCATAGACAGTTCATCCAAGGAGTCCTGGGATCCTGAGCGGTCAAACGATGCTCCATCAGGGGTCTTCTTGGAGTGGTCATGGTTCATTGTATACTGGCCAGACCGACGGCTACAAATATAAACCAAAAAGCAATTGCTGTTAGCATTTTAAGATACAGGTTATATTAATATCTGTGAAGGCAGTTACTGATAAATTGTGTCAAAGTATCAAAGCAAGCTACTGTCAACAAGAAAACAAGATATTAAAAATTTCTTTTAATATCCGTAATATATTTTTAATCTAGCATTTCTGCTCTACATATCTCCCAATCTGGAATGGCCCAGGAGCCTGTATTAAAGAGGAAATAATGAATCCAAGTTCTAGTAATCCCAGTCACACCAAACTTCTAATTCAACTCACAACAGTCATTTCCACAAACTTCATGGTACGTATCTTCCTAGCCCCACTCTTCATAAAGAATTTTTCAAAAGTGTCTTTCTGCCTGAGTAAATACTTATAGCTTGACAGTACTTTTACTTTCTTCCTTTTCTAGTCTGCTTTTATTTTTTATTAATGTTTAGTCTGGTACCTATGACCTTAATTACAGCTGGGAAAGGACAAAGTAGAACTACTGAAGTTACAGTTCATGAAGTAAACTGGTGAGTCCAAATGTTTAACAAAAGCCACTATTTGTTTCTATCTTGCTTCCTCTTTGAATGAAAGCTTACCGGTTTTATAGTTCGATATTACTAGATTTTGCCTCACTCTGCCAAATGTATGTTGCTAAGGCTTTCAAAAAGGATCTTTCATCTTAAGCATAGCTAGACTAGAAAAAAGAAACCAGCAAGATGAAACCTCTAGGTCCCATCTTGACTTCTTTAAGTCATCGTCAAAAATTGCCACTGACCTAGCAAAGAATTCCTCTTAAAAAGTGCAAAGGTTATAATGATGTCATTAAAGTCACAGGTCATCCTTACAGTCAAATGCACCAAATCAAAACCCACAAACTGATTCAGAGTATCAGTGGATTACACAAGCAGCAACCTGATCTAACTTCAGAGTTGGCCCTGCTTTGAGCAGGGGGCAGACCAGACAAGATGATCTCAGTGGTCCTTTCTAAACTAAGTTACTCTACTATTGTGACAGTATATCAAAATTCTTCCTTGTATTAAAAAATAGTAAGTTCTTAACATTTCAGGAACAGCTTCAGATGTCTTCTGTGTCTGAATTTGTCTCCATATTCTAAAAAAGAAGGCATGGTTTGGGGTTAAGTAATAAATATCACTTAATATGGGAGAAAAACACATCAAAAATAAGCATTGTGGATCTATCACAATGTGAACGTACTAAATTAAGTCCTACCTTCCCATTTGGCTGACTTTGCAAGTTTATCTAGAATTCAAACAAAAGCACCTCGTCCTTACATTTTATCTTGGGACAACTGATGCTTATTAGCTGCCCCTAAGTAAAAAAGCCATACCTTTCTCTCTGAAGATAAGCCCCTTGCGTGTCCAAGCTGCAAATGTTTTCACACCATATGTGCTTGATTCTCTGATAAGAAATACTAACTATACGGACTTTGCCTTTAAAGGTAAAGAGCCTTATGGAAGGACTATGAGTTTCTACCCGCCCTGCCTCTCTGCTCCAGATACAAGTTAATAAATGACAATGAACTACCAAGCTAATATGCGCCCCAACACCATTCCTTAACCTGCCCTTATTTGAAAGCCCAGGGGGAAAAAAAAAATATATATAAAGGAGTATTTAGCTTCTGCATCAATGGCAATAGCAACATCTTGCTAGTAGTGTATGTTACCCAATAAATACAATTTCTCCATGTAGCTACCTTAGTTGCTAAACTTCTCCTGACAGGCGTGTCCCGTGTGTGACCTGTGCTGCTTGTGAACCCAACACTAATCACTGCAGAAAGATGTTCATGGAGCCACACCAGAAGCGTTCCCAGCAGCCAACGTAGATGCCAAGTGTGGCCAAAGCAGGTCAGACTTCCCAGCCCTTGCCAAGGCTTCCCTCCTGCAGCTGAAGGTGCTCAGAGCAAGCTGGGTCCCTCTCATGACCAGACTTTCTTACACTCGAACTGCAGCCTGAGTGAGGTCAGGTTTCAGCTTGTTGTCCCTCAGTTTAATCCTGCGGAGCTGCTCGGCAGCTCTTCAGTGCCTTTCACCTTTGGAACCACCTGCTCTCACTGACAGACCTCGGCTGAAATTTAACCACCACAGTGCACCATGCAAAAGATAAAACTAACAGACTGAATACGCTAAAAGCATACGTGTCGTGGGACTCTGGCAGGCTGAGGTGGGATATGCTGCAGCAGGCTGTGACTCTGTGCCACGCTTCCAGGGCAGTGCTCCCCTTGTCCTTCCAAAAAAAGCCCCAGACTAAGTCCTGTCTCGGAGAAGATAAGTCTGTGTCCTGAAATGCACAGCTGATATTCAGCACAGAGCACTCCAGGCCATTTTCAAGGCCCTGTACGCATTTGCTGTACATTAAAACACTCCACTAACTCTCAGAGGCTGTGCCCTACCCTTCAGTCATGTCACAGGCCTGCTCTACTCAACCAAACATAAGCTGCTTTTCTTGTACAGCTCTTCCTGGCCTGACCTTTCCATCTTTCATTAATGAATCCGATATACAGCAGCTCCCAACTTTGAGTGGGCAGTAACGTCACTTTTCCCCATGAAAGCCCTCAGAGAAGGACATGAACAACCAGCAGAACCTTCCAAGAAATATTCACACCAAAACCTCACTGCTCTGTTGCAAATTTCTCCTTCAAAATCCATGTTGCCTTAGGCCCACTCACAGCTGGCAGCCTTAGCGTCGGCAGCGCTTGGACTCCTCAGGAGCCAGTGCCACCGGCCACTGCCACACTGCTCCTGCTCCACTCACCGATTCCTTGTCTTCCCTCGTCGGACTCGATCAACCCCCTATCCCCAGTATCTGTTCGGACTGCAAACCCTTTCATAGCCATCTGCACTTGTCCACATCCACAGTGCACATTTCTGTGGGCTAGGACAGAGAGAGGCTCAGACTAGGAGAGAACAACTTCTAGAACTTTAGCTGACATAGCAGGTCAGATCTTATTTTTCACTTGGTTCAACGTTTGTTGCTTTGCATACCCCACCAGAAAAAGATGCTAGTGAAGCAGTATTTGGTGCATAATCTACTCAGCAGTGGCTCCAGGCATCCTCATCTCTGTCCCTCCTATGAACCCCTGTGCACAAAGAGGCACAAACAAGAAAGACCCTTTGAGGAAAAAGGAGGACAGTCTTGATACCATAGGGTTGGTGCAGATTCACAGCACAGGGAAAAATAGGTTTCTATTTTTAGATATCTGTGGACATGACCAAGAACATGGGATTTCTGCTGTGACCTTCCAATAAATTCAATCGTTCTCCAAACATATGCTTAATAAGCACTAGTTGCATAATCACACAATAAAAAAGCATAGATGAGAAAAAGTTAAGGCCAAGAAAAAAAACAGAGGACAAGAGGAAAAGCAATCAATCTTAGCAATAACATTATAAGGAATTATAAGGAAAAGATATATGTTTTTAAAAATAATTAATCCCACATTCTCAGAAAGACTTATAAAAAAAAAAAAAAGTATTTCAAATACCCCATGTTGCAAGCTTTAAAATTTTGTAGACTGACTTCCAAAAAACTATCAAACAAGCACAGTTCATTACAAAAAAAGCTGTTACTGTGGTTGCAGAAAATAGGTTACTTCTCCAGCACATTCCTAAGTTTTTAGGCATTCAGTTTTTCTATTTACAATTTGAATAATGCAGCTGCTTTTCACAAGTATCTTCAAGGAGATCTCTTTTTTCCCCCAGAAAATGTAAGCTACTGCTAACAAACAAAGTCATTTAAAGTAATTTCCAAACACTACTCATTTAGCATTTGAGATTACTAAATGGTAAATTTACTCTCCAGCATGTTTTTTTTTCCCCCCAGAAAACTTGTATTTCTGTCAAGGTCTTCACTAACAACACTCTCAAACTCTATTACAATCTTATTAACATCTATTTCCAATCATCAGTAAACAGTTTACTCCTCAAATAGCTTTACAGGGACAAGTGCAATACTCTCATTTCCAAATTACACAGTCAGTTCTGACCTCTGATACCCAGACACATGCCCTTTGCAGCTGATGAGATTTTTGCCTATTTATCTCAGCACACAACTGAGCCCCCAGGTATAAAACCCATTCTTCAGTATAGTTATTGCAGTCTCTTAGGAGAGTTAATCTTATTGTCCCACCCACTGGAGACACATTTATTTATTAGAAACATCAAGGATGGATGCAAGACAAAGCACTCCAGCTCTTCCAGGGGGAAGCCATTAAAAACAGTTCTTGTAATGAACACCAATCATTACATTTACAAGGAAAGAAACCAGATTTGGGTTATTTCACTAAGCACTGATGAGCTGCACGTTGTGGCAAGTACTTAAGGGAGAAGAACTGTGCACAAGTATTTCCTTCTGCCTTTCCTTTTGTGACCAACTGTGTCCTTTCTCAGCCTGTAAGAAAAATATGACTCTTCACATTAATCACTGTTTTACACCATAATAATGTGCTTTCTTCAAGTTCTGTCAGCCTGATTTTGATTTCATCAATAGTCACTTTATACTGGTGCAGTTGTCTTTACCGCTTATTTTCTTTCCTGCACTATCTAAATTTCCCTGTCTGTGTCAGTGACTTTTTAGCAGTTCATAAGTGATACTCGTGATGTGTAAACTACAGCAGCTAGAGATTAATCAATTAGTAAGGTGCACTTTCACTGGGATTTCAGATAAATTCAGTTTGCAGAAAGCAAATTTTCCTCTTACTCCCATTTTTAGAATTTAGGCCTATGTTGTGTTTTAAAACAGTGAGCAATGAGAAAAAGATAATCTTTGTCATTTCTATAGTGCTAGCGACTAATTTTGGATCTGAATATGATCCTTCTACATCATTTTACAAACATCATAATTGTAAGGTATATACTATGTATATAGGTATGCATATATTAGACGTGTAAATATACTGAAAGGCAGAAAACACTAAATGCAAGGATGTTCACAGTAATAAAAACTAGGGAATATAAATACACTGTTGAACCAAACATAGT